GAAAGCTACAAAGATAACAGAACAAAGTCTAACCAAAGCCATTAAATAGATCACACCTACAGTAATTCAAACATTCAGCCAGGTTCAACTAACATCCTGGGCAAATACCTTTCAGAACATCTGCGTCTTTAGGATTCTCTGGAAAACTTGCAAGAACAGGGCCAACTGAACTTCTGTGAGAATTCTGTTCCAGAGACCAGACAGTATAAAGAGAAGCCATATTTCCATGGTCCTAGTAGATCACGAGTGTCAAACTTGCCATGTCACGTGATGTATCACGACATATCGTGACTTTTTTCATTGCCGGAGCTGGGGTGGGCACAGCCTCCGCCTGATGCAACTGGCCCGCGGACTGGCAGTTTGATACCCCTGTACTAGATTATATTGCTTTGCAGGAGAACTGTACCATACTGGGTCTGCAGGAGATGCTAGGTAAGCAGGAAAAAAAGAATTTCATAAATAACTTGTGCTAAGTATGGCTTTATAGTCAATAGCCAGCACCTTGAATTGCACCTGGAAGCCTAATGGAAATCAATACAAATCAAGGATTTCAACATATGAAAAATCTGACTGTCAATAGCCTAGAAGAAAGAAGGAGAACTGTTATAAAACTATGTTCCCACTCCCAATCCTCTAAGACTGTCCAGAAAAATACCATCAACAAAGGTATTGAAAGCCATAACAGTAAGAGATCACAGAAGATCAGGATAGATACATCATCTACATCCCATGTTTGTCATAGACCATTGACAAGCCTGATCTGAACTTTGACTGAAAAAGATCCAGATAATCTCTTTCCTCAAGAGCCCTCTGGAACTGCAAGCCAACCACCTTCTCAACAGCTTAGGAAGGGATGATTGGAAGGACTCTATTAAAATCATCTGCTGCGTTAAACAAGGTCTTCATGAGAGGAGAGACCAATGGCTTCTTAACCAGCAGAACTGTCCACTCTTTCAAAGAAACATTAACCACTGTGCACATCCCCATGGTTGGCCTTAAATACCCAGGAGAAACATAGTTCCAACATACAGGTACCTGAACTTAGAAGTCTGAAAATATTCCACTTTATCAAGAGAAACACATTGTTCCCAGTTAAACAAGCAAGGCCATGTTTCAGTTAACAACTGTATAGGACCTATATAACTGGTGGTTTAACTTTGAACAAATGTGTTTGATTTTAGCAGACAGATGCAAGAATAATCCTCATGGTGGCCCTTTGAATACTCCCCTGATTCTTTAGCACAAATTACAGGGCCTCTGGTAGTTCTCCACAGATGCACAGAAAAGTGGACAAATAATAGCATGTCGCCATTTTAATTGCCTTGAGATAATTCTACTATATCATTCTTACCTTTGTTCAGTTGGGTTCTCTGCTGATTTTTCTCCAGACTACCTTCCAAGCAGCTCTTATAGTTCTTCATCGCATTGAGTTCCTTTGAAAATTAAGGGCTCTCCATTAACCACACACATACAGAGGTTCCGAACACGGACAACCTTGTCGAAGGCCTTCATTGCCTTCTAATTCCAAATACTGGCTTACAACTTGGCTGAGCCATGAATAACAGAAATTCATTTTGTAATGGTAAGAACAACAGGCAAATCTATCCCAGAAGATGAATTCTTCTTTGCTGAAGATATTTAAACAGGGACTGGATGGCCATGCGCTGGGATGCTATGTTGTGGATTTGTTGCTGGACAGGACATTGGGGTAGGTCATCTCTAAGGTCTCTTTCAACCCATACAGTATATTCTACAATTAAGTATAAAGAAGAAATGAAGAGAAATTGGAGTTCTCTAACCATATAGGTAGTGACAGATTTTATTTTTCTGGGCTCCAAGATCACCTCAGATGGGGACTGCAGCCAAGAAATTAAAAGACGCTTGCTCCTGGGGAGGAAAGCTATGGCAAATCTAGACAGCATTCTAAAAAGCAGAGACATCACCCTGCCAACAAAAGTGCGCATAGTCCAGGCCATGATTTTCCCAGTTGCAATGTATGGCTGTGAAAGTTGGACCATAAGAAAGGCTGAGCGCAAAAGAATTGAGGCCTTTGAACTGTGGTGCTGGAGAAGACTCCTGCGAGTCCCTTGGACTGCAAGGCGTTCAAACCGGTCGGTCCTAGAAGAGATCAACCCCGACTGCTCTTTAGAAGGCCAGATCCTGAAGTTGAAACTCAAGTACTTTGGCCACCTAATGAGAAGGAAGGATTCACTGGAGAAGAGCCTAATGCTGGGAAAGATTGAGGGCAATAGAAGAAGGGGACGACAGAGAATGAGATGGCTGGATGGAGTCACTGAAGCAGTAGGTGTGAATTTAAATGGACTCCAGAAGATGGTAGAGGACAGGAAGACCTGGAGGAATGTTGTCTATGGGGTCGCGATGGGTCGGACACGACTTCGCAATTAACAACAACAACCATATATCTGGCTTTCATTTTCATCTGTAAGAAGACGGTCAATATAAAAGTGTTATTACTATTCAGACTTGAAATGGTAGCAAATGTAGTACAATAGTAGTATGAGTTTTAAAAATTGCCACAATGCAGAAACATTGCTTTTTAAAAAGACATAAATAAATTCAAGTGAAACTTCATCTGATTTCTCAAGTAACATCAGAAGTAGGCAAAAGGCAAAAAGCTACTGAGAAAGTTCATTCCCCTTCAAAACCACATGATGCTGAGATTAACCAAAGTGATTAAATATGAAATTATATGGATTAAGGATGCTGTCCCAGATGCTGTAGGATTAGCTAGTTCCTGACCTCAGAGACAAGCATCTAACATTTGATTGTCGTCTTTTGGCACTTTACCAGTTCTGTAGCTGACGCTTTCTATGGAACATATATGGGGCTAAGGAAGGTAAAATGAATCATGGATTTTAACACAACATTCTAATTCTAAACAGTGCAGAAATTTAGTAGGTCTGAATTTAATTCCTGTATTGTGTGTGTGTGTATGTCTCTTTGTCCTGCCAGACGACCGTTAAGAGGACACTAGAATAATTGAAGTGCTCTGATTTAATTTTAGGAGTACTCTGTAAGTCTATAATCCAAGGATGAGCACCACGTGGCTGTTTAAATCTATTTCCCATCATTCCTAACCAGAACTCCAGTGCTGAGAGATGATGCTAAATGATTCTATGCACAGCCCATTCTGCTGTATACCCTTGGGAATGCACTGCTCTCTAAATAACATAACGGAGTAAACAAATAAACAGTGCATTATTAAATCTGCATTAAATACAGATTTCTCATGTATTTATCCACGGACTCCTAGACAATTACTTCATCATGTCACAATTTGTTAAGATTTTTAACATGCCAGCAGGACCCTTGTTATTCTGCCTGCAGGGAATGTATATGCCTACTGTTCTGCAACAGATTTTTCTCTGATGTCAGAACAACCTCTTGACCTTGGTCCTTGCTCTTGCTGCAGCTGAGAAATAATGTAGTGGGTGATCTGCCCAGCCTGTTCTATTTTTGACTGCACTTAATAGAACACATGGATCAAAAAGTGCTGGGGGAAGGGGGGAAGGGGAAGTGAATGATACGACTTTTAGAAGTTGATGGAGCACTGCAAAGCCTTGGGCAGAGAAGGGCATTTGAATCAATGATGGAAGAAGGTTGTAGTTTACCTATGTGAAAAAAGAGGCTTTAGCAGAAATCAAGCCTGATGTGCTTTAGATATGTCTGAATGCACTTAATGGCAGCAGGGTGGCAGAAGAACACTAAGAGATCTGAACTTTATTATTTAAAAAAGAAGCTGAAGCAAAGCATGAAAAAGGGGGGTTAAGCATGATGGGCATATTCTGAGAAATCAGGAAACTGCTCAAGACATAACTGAACAGAAACCAGAAGGTAACAAGTACAATTACATAAATGTGTGTATAAAAGAAGGAAAAGACAACCTGAAGGAGTTTTATTAAGAGTAAAAAATCTTCTTACAGAATCTTGGTGTATGATTTTAAACATGAAAGAAGTATACTATACAACTAAAGGTCGCTTTAACTGCCCAGGAGGTGATTTATAGTGTAAGGATTCCTCTCCTTGATTAGACCATCTAATCACATTTCCACACCAAGAAATTATGATCCTGAAATATTAAAACGAATAACATAAGCCCATTAGCGCTTGATTCAACTGACTGATAAGAGAGTGACTAGAATGTCATTCAACTAAATATCTCTTCTGAGTTCCCTAAAACCTGGAGCAATAAAAATCCCCTCAGTTTCTTTCAATCCAAAATTGCTTTCATTGATGTTTTCAGTTTATGTTGTGTACAGTTTATCTTGTTGCCTACAAAGGAAGTCCGAGTGGTTGCTTTGAGGGGAAGCTTCATGGCTGTTAAGCCACTGTTTCCACAGCATTAAAAACACCTAGAAATTGTGAAGGTGAAATAATAGCTTTTGCTATTATTTGCTTCTCCCAATAGCTGTAACCATGTGTGTATGCTGTGCAATGGCTGAAGTAGGGATGAGAGAAAAACATAAGCAATGCCTACAGGTAGGCTTCCAGAATAGGGTAATAAAGGATGATTGTCTAAACTCCAGCAGAGTAAGGCAAGAATTCACGACGATGGACTATCAATAAGCTCTGAAGAGCCATAACAATTCAAAGGGAAACACTAACTTCGCTCCAGTTTCAAATAAACCCACCGTACAGCCCAAAGTAAATCAACCAGCTGATGTCACAATATGAACCAGCTCCAGGGCTGACAGCAAATTAGTACAGTCTTGTGTGCCTACTGTCAATATTTCATATCCTATAATGATGCAAACAGATATCTTCACAAAGCCAGCATATAAGGCACAAAGGGGAAAAAAATCTATCTTCTGTGCTCCAGAAAAAAATATCATTGAAAATAAATATTCCACTTAGCTGCCATCTCTAATAAAACGTACTCCCTATTAAAGATGTTTAATCTCTTTAGGCTGCATAAAGATATGCATAAACACAGCAATGACTACAATTGATAGAAAATCTTCAAGTCATGGTATGCTTACCCACGAACACACAAAGCAGAGCAAAGGTGATTGTTTTTGCCCAGTCATGCCCAGCAATACAATTCCAAACTTCTGTGACTTGCATTCCACTCATTTTCCTACGCAAATTCCCACATAATGGCCTCTGCTGATTGGTGAAAGGTGCAACACACTTGACAGATATTTTTTTGCGAATTACCAGTCACATGAACTTCATTGTTGGAACGTTGCTTTGTGGATGATCGAATGAACCTGCCCTTTGCTTATTTACACCTTTCTCTGCCCTGAACAATCAACATGACATGTAAGATGCCATGTTTACTTATTAACAAGAAGTTCAAATTCTCTGGGCCAAAGGCTCCAGCAGGAACCAGCTTTACTAATCAGAACATATCACAGGATTGCTTTGTAGGAGGGAGGTTTTTTTTAAAAAAAATATTGTTCTTATGATAAGAGGATCTTACTTTGGGTGGCAACAGATCTATTTGCTGAATTCTGGTTACACTGCACTCCAATGTAAAATGTTTGTATTTATGGAGATTACAGCAAAACCTTATTCTTGGCTGCAGTTTTCATGCCTATAAAGTCGCCATGGGTTTTTGCTGATCGTCAGCCAGATGATTTCAGAAATTGACAGGGGAAAAAACAAACATTTGGAGTAGAGCTAAAGAGAAATGTGTCTCTGACAGGAGTCTTTAGTATCCCTTCATCCATGAGAACCTTTAGCTCTAAAATTAACCTCTCAAGCTTTATACAACATTGGCTAAGACTACATGAATAATTACACGCGACCTCAACACGAGTGTGGTGTGCCCACCCTTGCTCAATGGTACCATGCTATTGTTCTGGGCATTACTTCCCAGTGTCCCATTTCCGGCTTCCACAGAAACACACTCTTACTGTTTCTGCTTGGCCAGCAAAGTTATAAAATCTTCAAGATATTTGGGAGACCTCTTATCTCTCTGTGATCTGCGTAGGCCTTGATAATTCCCAGGTACACCTTGTCCTGAGGAGGCTATAGGTTCACCCCCTTTCTCAGACCCTGGTGGCCCCCGTGGACCATGCCCCGTTGCCTGGCCTGCTTGCTTGCCCACCGGGCTCGTCAGACCAGGACTTTGTTCTCTCTCTAACCTGGTTGACCTGCCTAGTTGCAGGCGTTCTGTCCCCTCTAGGAGGCTGCCCCTGTTGGGCAACTCTGAAGAGTCTCTCGAGCCCACACTGGACCTAGCATGAGGCTGCCTTCCTTCACTCCCCAGTTCCATAGTAGGACTGTCTGTAATTTCAGTACTGTCCCAAAACTCAGTTGCCCCCTCCATTGAACCAGAGGGTTCAGGATCTGGATTTGGCCCTTCTATCACTTCCCTGTGGAAGTGTCCTTTTCTGGGAATGGTGGCTATATTAGGCCAATTGTGTTGATTGTGTGCCAGCTCTCTTGCAATGTTTGAGTTATTAGGATGCTCCCGGTTATTCTCCCAGACTGGAGTGCTGAAAGGTGTAAGTGTGTAATGATTATGCCCCCGGGGTGACTCCCTGGCTGGAGTATGCACTGTAGCCTGTGCGCTAGCTGGTTCCCCTGAATTCCTGTTCGGAACACTCACGGAATCTTGGGATAGGCCATCTGTGGCCTCTCTGTTGGGGCCTGGTTGCTGCCAACACCCTTCCCTTTGCCCGTAGGGGTCCCCCTCCCCCCCCTGGAAAAGAACCAGGAGTCTCTGAAGGTAAGTCCAGTCTTGTACGCAACTGGTCGATATGCCGTCGCAGGATACGACCGTCATCCAAGGAGACCTCGTAGGACAAAGGACCTGTAACCTTGCAAACTGTGGCAGGAACCTACAAGTGACCTGGCCCATAGTTACGGGTCCATACTGGGGCACCCACTTGCAATTGCCTTGGTGCCCTGGGTTGTGTACCCCTAGGAGGCAGTCTGTCCGGGTGCAACCAGTCAAGTTTAATAGTCAGTTTGCGCCCCCAGCGAAGTTCAGCTGGGCTTCTCCCCGTAGAAGTGGAAGGTGTAGTGCGGTAAGCAAGGAGGAAGTCAGCCAACCTGTGATGCCAGTCCCCATAGGTCAGTTTCTTTAAAGCATCCTCGGTGATGCGGACCATACGTTCAGCCATCCCGTTGGTGAAAGGGTGGAAAAGCGCAGAGGTGGCGTGATGAATCATGTTGGCCTGTAAGAAAGCTTGGAATTCGGAAGAAGTGAATTGAGGGCCATTGTCAGACACCAAAACATCCGGAAGCCCATGTGCAGCAAAAATCCCCCTCAGTACTTGGATAGTCTTCGCAGTGTTGGTGGAGGAGACAGGTACAACCTCAAGCCATTTTGAATAGCTATCAACCAGAACCAAGAAGAATTGACCCTGAAAGGGCCCAGCGTAATCGATGTGCACCCTAGACCATGGAGACTGTGTTTCTTCCCATCTATGCACAGGAGCCTGGGGCATTTCTAGGCATGAGCGCTGACAAAGGTGGCAAGCGTGCACCTTAGCCTCAATTTCCTTGTCTAACCCAGGCCACCATAAATGGCTGCGCGCAAGCGCCTTCATTCGTACAATGCCAGGATGACCCTCGTGAAGGGAACCTAAGACCCTAGACCTCATTGAGGTAGGAATGACAACTCTGCTGCCCCACAGCAGACAACCCTGGAAAGTGGCTAACTCGTTCCTTTTCAGCCAGAAACTCTGAAACTCAGTGCCTGGACAACTCTCTGGCCAACCAGACAAAACCCAGGATAAGACACGAGAAAATGTGAGATCCGTGGCTGATTCAGCAGCCACATCCCTGGTGTTTAGAGGTGATTCAGGCAGTGCCTGAATTGAAAGGATGTTGATTGCCGGGGCAGGATCAGCCTCTACTACTTGTAAGGGTAATCTACTGAGGCCATCAGCATGGCCCATTTCCTTGCCAGGTTTGTGAATTAGAGAAAAGTCATAAGCTGACAGGAATATTGACCATCTGAGCATCCTGGGGGAGATGATGTGGGGGGTCTGTTTGTTAGTAGTAAACAATCCCAACAAAGGCTTATGATCAGTGTAGACCGTGAAACGTCTGCCATACAAAAAATCATGGCATTTTTTAATTCCAGCAACAACAGCTAGGGCCCCCCTGTCTATCTGGGCATAATTCCTTTCAGCAGAGGACAATGTTCTGGAGTAATATGCAACAGGAACCTGAGTTCCATCTGGTCTGAGATGATTGAGTACTATTCCTACTCCATAAGGAGAAGCATCACAAGCGATGCACACAGGAAGAGTTTCATTGAAGTGTGCAAGCACATTGTTGGATGTTAGTAAGGCCTTAACCTCATTGAAGCTTGCTTCATGTGCCTGTGACCACTGCCACACTGCCTGTTTGTTCAGAAGCCTATGAAGTGGTTCAGCTACATTAACCTTATTAGGAATGAATGAATTATAAAAATTCAAGAGTCCCAGAAAAGCTTGCAGTTCAGCTTTGGACTTAGATCTAGGGGCTTGCAAGATAGCTTTTAATTTGGACTCAACAGGATGAATCCCATTGGCATCAATTTTGAATCCCAGAAAATCTGTAGAAGGCACCCCAATTTTACATTTGTCCTTTTTAAGGTTGAGTCCTGTTTTCCGGAACCGCACCAGGACAGCCCTCAATCTCTCAGCTAGATTTTGGGTGGAGTCTCCAGCAATTAAGACATCATCAAAATAGGGGCAAACCCCTGGTATGCCCCTCAAAGTATTTTCCGTTACACTTTGGAAAATTCCAGGAGTTACGTTTACTCCAAATTGTAGTCTCTTAACTTTGAATGCCCCCCTATGAGTTACAATGGTTTGTGCTACAGCAGCAGCTTCATCAACAGGCAGCTGTTGATAAGCCTGTGCTAAGTCAAGCTTTGCAAAAACATGTCCCCCCTTGAGGGAGGCCAGAATATGGCTGACTACAGGTACAGGATAGGCATGTTGTTGCAATGCCTTATTGAGAGTGCATTTGTAATTTGCACAGATGTGAATGTCCCCATTAGCCTTAAGAGGCGTAACTATGGGAGTTTCCCAAGGACTGGAGTCAACAGGTTCTAAGATTCCTTGCTGAATTAATATGTCCAATTCAGCATCAATTTTCCCTTTTAAAGCAAAAGGCACTCTTCTTGCTTTTACTCTGATAGGAGTGACCGTGGGGTCCAACTTCAAAGAGACTGGGGGCCCTTTGTATGTGTCCAGCTGTGGGCTGAATACATCCGCAAATTCTTTGCAGACTTCCTGTAAATCTACTGTTTGCATGCTATTTAGCCCTGTAACTTGTATTCCCAAGGCCTCAAACCAATCGAGTCCTATGAGACTCGTGCGCTCACCCTCCACTATCAATACATCTAATGGACCTTCAAAATCCTTATACTGCACATTAAGGGTGGCCTCCCCCTTAACACACACTTTGGAGTTTTGGAAGTCTGTTAGCACTATATTAGAAGGCCTAAGCTTGGCCTGAAAACCACTACCAGAGCAAATCTTTCTGAATGTGTGAATGGAAATGATTGAAAGTGCAGACCCAGTGTCTAGTTCCATGACCAATGGAATCTCTTGCAACTTCACCTTAAGTGACAATTTCTTTTTAAGTGGCTTGTGTGTGCCTGTCCTATAAATGCTTGTGTGTGCCTGTCCTACAAATGCTTCTTCGTGAAGCACAGAAACCCACCCTGTTTTGGCTGGGGACCCTGGTACCTTTCAGGCGCAATTCTTCTCGGGGTTGTACCCTCTGACGGCCCAGACACACAGCTGCTATGTGGCCTTGCTTCCCACATGCTCTACACATTGCAGAACGGAACTTGCAGTCGGTCCTCTTGTGGCGACCTCCGCACCTGAAGCACTTGGGTACAGGTGAAGACCTTTCTTTGCCTTCTTTGGTTGGGTAGAGATGATCTACTTCTTCATCAGGTTCCTCTTCCGAGCTTCCTTGGACTTCCTCGTGGTGCACGGAAACAGCTTCTGGAGTACTTCTGATAGGCCTCATATTCTTGATTGCCCCACTTGCTGCCTCTTCTGCAGTAACCTCTCTCAAGGCATCTTGGAACGATATGTCCTCTTTAGCGAAAAGTCTTTGCTGCACATCTCTGTTTCTCAGTCCACATACAAATCTGTCTCTCAGCCTTTCCTCTAAGTCTTTAAATTCACAATGCTTAGCTGCTCTTCTTAATGCAGCAATGTATTCTTTAGCTATTCGCCAGCCCGTTGATCCCTCTGTTCAAAAGTATGTCTCCAAGCAATAACAGATAACTTGGGTTGAAAATG